ACTAAGAAATCGATTAAAACACAAAGATTGCAGATTACAAGAGAAAAAACACTGAAATATAAGGATAAGGAAATTGTGGCTCTGAAGCAAATACCGAGAAGAGTGGGGGAGATGAGAAGAGAATATTATTTCTTGACCAAAATATTACTACAGAAAGGTGTGAACTACAGATGGCTGATAACAGAAGGCCTTGTGTTTTCATGGCAACAACAAAAATATAGAATAGATTCAATTGATAAAGCAAAAGCATTTTGTGCAGAATACTTGAGAGAGAAAGAAGTGGAGACAAGAAGAAAAGAATCATTGATTGAACTACAAGAAGAATGCTTAACAACGACCGAAAAAGAAGAAGGCACAATGGGTGGCAACATGAAATACAGAGAACAACGTGAACTGAGATCTACTAGAGCAATAAACCCTTCTTATAAAATATAAATATGGGAGAGAAAAAACTGATTACAATAAACATAAATGGACTTAATTTAGCTATTAAAAGAAGAAATACATTTCATAAATTAAAGAAATTAAAGTTTGATATAATTTGTCTACAAGAAGTACATATTAAAAAGCAATATGAAAAAACATTGGAACAGCCAAAATTAGGGAAAACATTTACTTCATTGCCACAATGTAAAAAAAAGAGGAGTTGTTTTATATATTAGAGACACAATCCCAGTGGAGCAAATTTACACAGATGATGATGGAAGAATCTTGATGGTGGAAATAATAGATAATAACACGAAAATACTTTTAATAGCAATATATGCTCCAAATGATAATCAAGAAGAATTTTACAGAAAATTACATACAAAAAAAATTGAGTTGGACTATGACAATATTTGCATGATGGGAGATTTTAATGGTATAGTAGACGAGAAATTAGATTACAATACACAAAAAACAACAAAGCAAAGTAGAAAGACTCTTCCAAAATCTTTCTTTAAAATGATAGAGGAAACAAATTTGAAAGACGCATGGAGAGAAAGAAATGCAAAAAATAGACAATATAATTTTTATTCAAATAGACATTTATCATGGTCTAGAATAGATATGATATGGACGACAATGGAATTGACATCTAACATAGAAGAAATTAACATAGAAGCAAGCACCTGGTCAGATCATAATCCAATGACAATGAAATGGAAAGGACAAAGGAGAAGTTCGAGATGGACCTTAAATAATACAATATTAAAAGAAAAGGAATTTGTACAGAAAATGGAGAAAGAATTGGCTTTTTTCTTTAAAGAAAATAGAAAAGAGGCTACATCAATGCAAAATCTTTGGGATACAATGAAGGCCTATGCTAGAGGTCTGATAATAGACTCTACAAGGAAAAGAAACATTAAGAAAAGACAAGCTTATAAAACATTAAAAGATGACTACAGGAAACTTGAAAAAGAATTACAGAAATCTCCACAAAAAAAGAACATCAAAATAAAAATGGACACAATTAAACATAAAATGGGACTAATAGAAAAAGAGGATTTAGCACAAAAAATTAGAAGTGCCAAACAGAATTATTTTGAAGACACAAATAAACCAGGTAGATGGTTAGCATACAAACTGAAAAAAGAGAGAGAATCAAGAAAAATAACACAACTAGTAGATGACCAAGAACAAATAAGATATGGGAATAAAGAGAAGAAAAAAATTATACAAGATTATTATAAGAAACTGTATGAGCATGAGAATATTGAAGAGGAAGATGTTAAACGATACCTGCAGAAAGCGAATTTACCCCAGATTTCCAAAGACACTGAAATGATGTTAGAAGGAAATATAACGATGATGGAATTAACTGAAGCACTTAAAAAACAAAAGAATGGGAAGGCACCAGGCCCGGATGGGCTGCCAGCAGAATACTATAAGACACTAAAGGATCGTTGAGTCTCCCATTGTTAGAAGTCATGAATGAAGTCATGTTAAAGATGAAACTACCCAAATCATGGTCAGAAGCATATATTACACTTGTTCCAAAGGAGGATACCGATTCACAACAAATCAAGAACTATAGGCCCATATCCCTGCTAAATTCAGACTATAAAATCTTCACTTCAATATTGGCAGAAAGACTCAAAAGATACTTAATTTCATACACTCTGATCAAAATTGGTTTCTGCCAAAAAGACAGATTAAAGACAACAGGAGGATAATTCTGGACACTTTGAAATATTATGAGGCACATCCTGAAAAACAAATGGCTTTGATATTTTTAGATGCACAGAAAGCTTTCGATAATGTGAATTGGCGATTTATGCTTTTACAGCTGGAGCAGATGGGCTTTGGTAGAAATTTATTCAAGCCATAGAAGCCAAATATCACAAACAACACACACACAACACAAAAGTAATGATAAATGGAGAATTGACAGAGTCTATTGAAATAAACAAAGGAACGAGACAAGGTTGCCCACTGTCACCTTTGTTGTTTGTGTTAACATTAGAAGTGCTAAACAGAAATATTAGAGAAGAAAAAGATATAAAAGGAATGAAAATTCAAAAGGAAGAATACAAATTGCAAGCGTTCGCAGATGACCTGGTTTTTATTCTTGAAGATCCATTAGAATCAGTAATTAAATTGCTAGACAAGATAGGAGAATATGGAAAAGTAGCAGGTTTGAAAATAAATAAAGGCTATGATTGCTTGGAGACGAAATATGGGTTATTCATTGGATCTTCAAAAATGGGAGATTTGGTTTAAAAATTTAAAATTAACTATGGCATCTTCCTATAAAGAGAATATTTATAAGATGGTTTATCGATGGCACCTACCTCCAGCAAGATTAGCTAAAATGTTCCCCGGGACATCTTCACAGGGCTGGAAATGTGGGCATAGCAATGGAACTTACTTCCACCAATGGTGGACATGCCCGCTGGCAACTAAATATTGGATGAAAATACGACGATGGTTGCTTGAAATCACACATTGTAGAGTGGAACTGAAACCAGAAACCTTTTTGTTGGGGGTTAGACCCGCAAATATTGGATTGACTAAATGGTATTTGATGCTGCATATAATTACTGCAGGGAGAGTGGGATTCATACAAGAATGGAGGAATGAGGACTCAAAAATAATTTATAACAACTACAATGAACTCAAACAACAGATAGTGACAGACTTGGCAAAGTGGGAAAATAGAAAGAAATAGAAAGAAAGAAAAAGTTAGCTAGCTAGAGAAAGAAAGAAAGAAACAGAAAGAAAAAGAGCTAGATAGCTAAATAGAGAGACACAGAGAGAGAGATGGATAGAGAGATACCAGTAGATAGATAAAAGAAAGAGGGAGAGAGGGAGAGAGAGAGAGAGAGAGAGAGAGAGAGAAAGAGCTAGTTAGCTAAATAGTGAGAGAAAGAATGAAAGATAGATAGATAGATAAGAGAGAGGGAGAGAGAGAGAGAGAGAAAGAAAGAAAGAAAGAGAAAGAGCTAGATAGGTAAATAGATAGAGACAGAGAGAGAAAGCTAGATAGATAGGCAGACAGACATGGATGCATGTATATATATAAATGGATACATAGATGATATGATAAATTATTGAAAGATAGATATGAGAGAGAGAGAGATGCAGATAGAAAGAGATAGAGATGGATGGATAGATAGATGGAAGGAATCTTGGAAGTCTTCTAGTCCAACCCCTGCAGGAAACCTATCCCATTTCAGACAAATGACTGGCCAATCCCTTCTTAAAAGAGAGACGGAGCACCCAGAACTTCTGGTGGCAAGCTGTTCCACTGATTTATTGTCCTCACTTTCCAGAAATGTCTCCTTAACTCCAGGTTGCTTCTGTCCTTGGTTAGTTTCCATCCGTTTCTTTCTGGTCCTGCCTTCTGGTGCTTTCAGAATATCAAACAGTAGATGATAAATTATTGAAGATAGAGATTATAGATTAAGACAGGTAGATGGATAGGTATATAGGTGATATAATGGAGAGAGAGAGAGATGGATGGATAGATGGATAGACATATCACAGATGATAAATTATGAGAGAGAGAGGTGGGAGAGAGAGAGAGAGAGAGAGAGAGAGGGAAAGAGAGAGAAAAGGAGAGAGGCCTTCGATAGTTATGCAATTTGCCTTTTCTTTTCGACTATAAGCCTAGCTTTTGGGCCCTAGGAGGATGGGGTCCTTGGGGAGATGGAGGGAGGGGCATTAACCAAAAAGATTACATCATCCCCCCAAAGGAAACTTTCACAGTTTATTGACAGCAGCGATTGCCCCCCCACTCCACCCACGGATTACCCCCCAAAATCTCTGCGGGCCCCTGCAACAGCATCAAAGGGAAATCAATAGCATTTGAAAGCGACTTCAAAGCGAAAGAAACACCACCCCCACCCCCGCGCGGCCCTTGCAATGTATCTCCCACCGCGGGGACACCCCGCCCCTCTCTTTGAAGCCAGAAACCGCCTCTCCCTCCCTCCCCCACCACCACTATGGGGGGGGGTAGATGTGGGGAGGGCCCCGTAGGGCAGAGCGTGGCTCTCAAGGTCGGGGGCGGCCATTTTGACTTTTTTGGGGGAGGGAAGCCCTCCCCTCTCTCCTCCGCACACTTGGGAACAAACCCCCACCCCACCCCATCCTCCCGGGGCGGTGTAGAGATCGCGAAGCGGTGACTGTCACTTTCACTGATTGTGCAGCCGCGATCTTCCTTTCTTCCCAGGCCGCCAGGACGGGTCCGGGGAGTGGAGGGGAAGCCCAGCGGGGGACGGAGACCCCCTCGATGTTTTTCGGGAGGGGGGAGGCCCCCCCTTGATATACCTCCCCACCCCCACCAAGGCCGGTGGGGGAGGGGCTTAGAAATGGCGAAGTGCCACTTTCACTGATGCAGCCGCGTCAATAGGGAGGAGGGACCACCACCCCACCAGAGACCCCCCCCAGGGCAGTTCGAGGGCGTGGGGGAAGGAAAGATCCCCTTGGTGTACCCAGCCACCCCCACCAAGGCCGACGGGGACCCCTTGGACCCCGGCTGGGGATGGGGAAGGGGAGTGGGGGGGGAGCCTGTTTACCTGCCCAGGCCGGGGTCTCGGCGCCTCCATGGCGGGGCTGGCAGCGCCTCTCGACAAGAACAAAGGCGGGGGGTTGGGGGGAAAGAGGGGGGGGGGGAGGACGGCTCAGCGACGACGCCCCGGCTCCGCCCGCTGGAAGGAGGGGAGGAGGGGAGGAGCGGAGGGAGGGGGCTCTGGCGCTGGCGCCCGCGGGCGACGCAAGGGCCGGGCGGGGCTCCTTTCGAAGAGGGGGGGGAACATGGGACTTGCGGGAAGAGAGTCTGCTCTGTATGTCTGTCTGTCTTGTATGTCTGTCATTTTTCATCAGTCACTTTCTCTCTCTCTCTCTCTCTTTCTTTCTCTCAATCTGACTGTCTATCTCTATCATGTTTCATCAATCTCTCTTTCTTTCTTCGCTTCAATACTGGCAGAAAGACTTAAAAGATACTTAAATAATTTCATACACTCCGATCAAAATGGATTCCTGCCAAAAACACAGATTAGAGACAACACGAGGATAATTCTGGACACTTTGGAATATTACGAGGCACACCCTGAAAAGCAAATGGCGTTGATATTTTTAAATGCACAGAAAGCCTTTGATAATGTGAACTGGCGATTTATGTTATTACAGCTGGAGCAGATGGGCTTTGGTAGAAAATTTATTCAAGCCATAGAAGCCAAATATCACAAACAAACAGCAAAAGTAATGATAAATGGAGAATTGACAGGGTCTATTGAAATAAACAAAGGAACGAGACAAGGTTGCCCACTGTCACCTTTGTTGTTTGTGTTAACATTAGAAGTGCTAAACAGAAATATTAGAGAAGAAAAAGACATAAAAGAAATGAAAATTCAAAACCAAGAATATAAATTGCAAGCATTTGTGGATGACCTGGTTTTTATTCTTGAAGTTCCATTAGAATCAGCAATTAAATTGATAGACAAGGTAAGAGAATATGGAAAAGTAGCAGGTTTGAAAATAAACAAAGCCAAAACGAAGATTTTGACAAAAAATGTGTTAATAAAACAAAAAGAAGCATTGGTGGAAGTATTGATGATGCAGGTCACAAAAAAGATTTAAGTATTTGGAGATATACTTGACAGCAAGACGTAGTACACTCAAAGAGAATAATTATAATAAACTCAAACAACAGATAGTGACAGACTTGGCAAAGTGGGAAAATTTACAACTATCATTAATAGGGAGAATATCAACGATTAAGATGAATATACTACCTAGAATTCTATACTTGTTCCAGACAATTCCAATTACGTTGGGGAAAGATTATTCTGAAGATTTAGATAAAATAGTGTTGAAATATATTTGGCAGAGGAAAAAAGCGAGGATAAAACTAAAATTGTTGCAAGATGCTAGAATACGAGGAGGTTTTGGCTTGCCTAATTGGGAATTATACTATCAAGTGACAAATTTGATGTGGATCAAGGAATGGATAATGTTAAGAAATACTAGTTTATTGACTCTAGAAGGACATGATTTGTTGTTGGGCTGCCACGCTTTTTTATGGTATAAGGGAACAAAAACACAGGGGTATTTTAGAAGACATTTATATGAGAGTCTTTGCTATTAAACTGGGAGAAGATTAAAAGACAACATTATTTTAAAAATCCAATCTGGTTCTCAACTATTGAAGCATTCTCATATTCAACAAATTGTTAAATATAGTGAATTATTGAATGAAAAGGGTGAACTTAAATCTATGCAAGTCTTAGAAGAACAAGGTATAAAGATGAATTGGTTTGCAAATACATTCTAGATACGATAAAGATTTTAAGACAGAAGGTTTTTATGATAATTTGACTAATTTAGATAAAATTTTAACAGGTACTGGTGAAAACATAATTAAAAAACTATATGGATATTTATTAGAGGTTAAATTGGAAGAAGAACAAATTAAAGAAATAATGATTGCTTGGGGGAAAAATTTTGGACATGGGATTGACTTAGATTAATGGCAGAAATTGTGGCCGCAAAATCATAAAATGACAATGTCAATTGCATATAAAAAAAAATTGTATAAGATGTTTTACAGGTAGCATCTACCCCCGACGAGACAGAATGTTTAAGAATAAATCTGAAAAATGTTGGAAATGTCATCAGATACCGGGTTCATATTACCATATGTGGTGGACATGTGCAGAAGCCAAAAGATACTGGACTAAAATCCACACATGGTTGGAAAAAATGACAAAGAAACACATAGACTTTCTTTCTTTCTTTCTCTCTCTGTCTGCTTGTCTCTATCTATCATTTTTCATCAATCTCTTTCTTTCTTTTTTTCTTTCTTTTTCTTTCTTTCTTTCTCTCTTTCTGTCTATTTCTATCATTTTTCATCAATCTCTCTTTCTTTGTCTATCTAGCTATCATTTTTCATCAATCTCTCTGTCTGTCTATTTATCTTATTTATCTGTTGCTCTCTTTCTTTCTCACTCTATCTCTGTCTACCTTTATCTATCTTTCTATATCATTTATCATCTCGTTCTGTCTTTCTTTCTTTCTCTCTCTCTCTGTCTATCATTTATCATCTATTGCTCTCTTTCTTTCTTTCTCACTCTATCTCTCTATCTTCATCTTTCTATCTCTTTATAGCTATTTATATCTCTCATTTATCATCTCTCTCTCTCACACACATCAATTATTTTATATATTATTGTCTCTGTCTCCGTCTCTCGCTCTCTCTCATTCTCTCATTTTTCATATTTACAACCACTGCAGCATTGAAACTAAACCATGGTTTAATGCGACACGAGAGCTCGGCCAAATTAAACCCTGACTTATTGATTTACAGGCAGTCCTCATCTTGCGACCGCAATTGAGCCTCCCCCCAAAATAATTTACATCGTTAAGCGAGACAGCTATCAAGTGAGTTTTGCCCCCTTTTTACGACCTCTCGGGCCACAGTTGCTAAGTGAATCGCTGCAACATGGTCGGTAAGTGAATCTTGTATCCTTCCCCATTTCCCGGTCGGATGGTCTCAAAAAGGGATCATGTGACCCCGGGATGCCAGCACCGTCATAAAGGCAAGTTGACAAGCCTCCGAATGTTGATGCTGCAAATGTCGTAAGTGTGAGACACAGTCCTAAGTCCCTTTTTTCCCCCCAGGGCTGTCGTCGCTTCGAACGGTTGCCTCAATGAACCTGTCATAACTTGAGGACTAGCCATATTTGGCTTCTTCGTGGAAAAGTTCTCTCAGGGACAAGGGCTAAGAGGCAAATAAACAGATTGGGAATCGAGAAATACGTCGGTTTTATTTAATGGCAGAAAATCCAGAACTCGCCGCTTTCATTGGGAATTCCAGATACAATTTGTCCCCCCAAAATTGAAGAGGAATATGAACGGGGCGGCCATCTTGATTCTTGATGCTCTGAGGATACGACAAGGAAGGATTTTTCTCAGCCTTGGTCATTTTAAAAGGGGTGAATTTCAGCTCCCAGAATTCCTCAGCCAGCATGCAGGCTTTGAAGTCTGCCCATCTGGCGGGGGGATTCTGGGTGTTGAAGTCCATCCTCTTAAAGCATGTCCTCTGGGGGATTCTGGGAATTGAAGTCCGCCTCTCTTAAAGTGATCAAGCACTGATTTGATGAAATATTTCCACCATGGAGGAAATCTCCCATCATGCTGTGGGTTGAAAAGCCCAAAAATCCGCCTTGGGTGGACAGAGACCCCCAAACCCAGCAGGCAAATGCACCCACTCCCACAATTACGTTGCGGGGTCCCCCGCTCGATTCTCTCTTCTTAACTCCAGAGCAGGGAAGATTCCAGAGGCTGTCGGAAAAAAAGAAGTCAAAATAACACAGTCAGGATAAGTAGGCAGTCCTTGACATACGACCAAAAGCGATTCCCAAATTTTTGTCGCTAAACTTGCAGCTATGACGATCCACAGGGAGTCCTCGGCCTTACGACTGCAATCGAGCCCACAATTTATGTCACTAGGCAAGATGGTTGTTAAGTGAGTTTTGCCCCGTTTTACAACCTATCTCACCACCATCATTAAGCGAATTGCTGCAGTTATTAAAGTTAGGCACAGGGTGGTTAAGTGAATCTGGCTTCCCTGTTGTCTTTTGCTCGTCGGAAGGTCGCAAAACGGGATCGTGTGACCCCAGGATGCTGTGACTGTCATAAATGCGAGTCGGTTGCCAAGCGTCTCAGTTTTGATCACGTGACCACGGGGAAGCCGCAAGGGTGTGAAAAACTATCATAAGTCACTTTTTTCAGGGCCGTTGTAATTTTCAACAGTCACTAAGCGAACCGTTGTAAGTCGAGGATGACTGCCTGTATGAGGATCACAGGTAGTCCTCCACTTATGACCACAATCGAGCCCAAAACTTCTGTCACTAAACCTGCAGCTGTGAGGATCACAGGCAGTCCTCGACTTACGACCAAACTTGACCCACAATTTCAGTAGCTAAGTGAGATGGTTGTTAAGTGAGTTTTGCCCCATTTTATGACCTTTCTTGCAATGGTTTAATGCAACACCAGTGCTCGGCCAAGATTAAGCCCATCATCACTGATTCATTTAGTGACCGTTACAACGGCCCTGAAAAATGGGACTTAAGACCAATTTTCACACTTATGACCATTGCAGCAGTGAAAGCAAACCATGATTTAAGGCGACAGAAGAGCTCCGTCAAAATTAAGCCCTGCATTATTGATTGACAGTTGGTCCTCAATTTATAACGGTTCATTTAGTGACCATTGGAAGTTGCAACAGCACTGAAAAAAGCCTCTTATGACCGTTTTTCACACTTACAAACGTTGTGAAAATCCCCCCTGGTCAGGTAATCAAAATTTGGACTCTTGCCAACCGACTCATATTTATGATGGTCACAGGATCCCCAGGGGAACGCGATCCCCTTCAGCGACCGTCCGACAAGTAAAGTCCACAGGGAAGCCGGATTCGCTTAACGATGGTACAGCTGATTTAACCGCTGCGGTGGTTCACTTAACAACATCAGTCGTCCAGTGGGACAAAAGTCACTTCACAAGTGTCTCGCTTAGCAACAGGAATTTTGGGTTTGATTGTGGTCGTAAGTCGAGGACTAGCTGTATATATATGTGCCCTTGTGCCCCATCTCAAAATACCGCCTCGCTTCTGACCAGAAGCTCCGAAAACTCTCACCTCTTTGCCCACTATGGGGTGGGACACCGGAGTCCCAGAACGCACCAGGAAAAGGGGGTCCATTGGCATCGGCTTCTCTCACCTGGCGGGAGGTGCCTTCTTCTCTCTTCTCCGGCAGAGGACTCTGGGAGGACCAAAGGAAGCGGGAGGAGATGCTCACAGGGTCCTACCAGGATTTGAGAGCCGGGGAGCCACCATTCCCAAACCACACTGAGAGGACCCGGTGCAGGTATATGAAAATAAGAGCAAACCCCTTGCCCTTCTAGCATTAAGGAGGTTAGCTAGTTGGGTCATGAAACATCTGTAGGAAAACCAAGCTCAGAAAGCACCAAGGAGCCCACAGTCCTCCTTGTCTCCTTCCCCCTCCTCCTCCTCTTCCTCCTTCCAACTCCTTCTCCTCCTCCTCTCCACAAACCTCCATCCCTCCTGGCACTGATGCTGTTCCCTAGTTTGGTCATGAGATGTCTGCAAGAAAACCACCGAGAACCCAACAGTCCTTCCCCCCCTCCTCCTCCTTCTCTCCCTCCCACTTCTCCTTGCCGCAAACCTCCATCCCTCCTAGCACTAATGATGATACCTAGTTGGCTCATGAGATGTCTGCAGGAAAACTACCAAGCTCAGAGAGCACCAAACAGCCCACAGCTGTCCTCCTCCTCCTCATGAACCTCCATGCATCCTAACCCTGATGCTGTTCCCTAGTTGGGTCATGAAATGTTTGCAAGAAAACCACCCAATTCAGAGAGCCCCAAGGACCCCACAGTCCTTCCTCCTCCTCCTCTTCCTCCTCCTCGTCCTCCTCTCCACAAACCCCACTCCCTTCTAGCCCTGATGATGTTCCCTAAATGGGTCATGAAACATCTGCAAGAAAACCACCCAACTCAGAGACCACCGAGGACCCCTCCAGTCCAAGACCTGCCAACTTTGGAGTCCAGCTATCCATCTCTGATGCCCCCTCCCACCTCAAAACCCGTGTCCTGCCCTGCTGAAGACCAGTTCCCTGGGTTGTCACCTTCTCAAGACCCGTGGGAGGAGCAGCGTGCCCCCCAAAGCCCAGCCCCACTCACCACGGTCTTCATCAGCCCTCGACTCAGAGCCGATAAGCTGCCCAACCGGTAAGGTCTCCATCGTTTCCGTTGGTACTGGGTAGTCCGGATTACCCGGACGGTTGCCGTGCTCCCCTCGCCATGGCCGCCCTGCAGGATTGAAGAGGTCATAGAGAAGACTTGGCTGTTTTACAACAGCCCCCTCCCCTCTCACCTCCCCCCAGGGTCAAATTCTGCCCTTTGGCTCTTCCTATCTGGCCCACTTGAGAAAAATCGATGTTGCCTATGGCAGGCACAGGGTACACTTCAAGCTGGAAGGGACCTCAGAGGTCTTCTAGTCCAACCCCCTGCTCAAACAGGAGACCTTACACTATCTCAGGCAAATGGTTGCCCAGTCTCTTTTTGAAAACCTCCAGTGATGGAGCACCCACAACCTCTGGTGGCAAGCAGTTCCACTGGTGAATTGTCCTCCCTGTCCAGAAATTCCTCCTTAATTCCAGGTTGCTTCTCTCCTTGATGAGTTTCCATCCGTTGCTTCTTGTCCTGCCTGATGCCTGAGAAGTCCACCGACCAGCTGAGATAAGGCCTACCTTCCTACCCCCAGATTGTACCAACCTGTGTCTCCCCGGGTTCCTCTGCTCCCTCTTCTCCATCCGACAGGTCAGTGAAAATCACAACAACGAAGGTGGCAACGAAGACCCACAACAGCCGGGAATCCATTCTGGAGAACCACCAGAAGATCTCTCCCAGATCTTCTCTCCAGTCTGGACGTCTCCTGGGAGAAGCAGAGAGGAGGAGTCCGGGCGCCTTGGAAAACTGTTAAAGATTAACTGATGTCCTACAAGAAGGATTAATTTGGATGGAAGAGGAATTCAGGGGTGGGACCATGGAAATTTTCCATTTGACCTTCAGAAGTGAAAGGCCACTCAGTGGAAAAAACGTGGCCTTCAGAGCAGGAGATAATGGAGGAGGTGAACCAAGGAAGTCTGGACTTCAGAAGGAGAAAGGAAGAAACTGACTTAGATTTTGGGCACCTCTTCTCCTTGAATGGTGACTGGCCAATTCATTGTCTGAAGAAGAGAAAGATTGGGGTGACAGCCGGTCTTCCAATCTTTGAGGGTCTCCTACAAAGACCAGGGGAGGTCACCTGTTCTCCAGAGCCCCAGAAAGCAGCACAAGAAGCAACAAATGGAGGAATATTTGGAAAAAAACAACCAGGTCCCTGCAGCGTTCATATTTTTGGATGCAGAGAAAGCATTTGATCGATTGAATTGGCAATTTCTGTTTAAGATAATAGAAAAAATGCATTTTGGAGAGTATTTTATACAATCAACTAGAGCAATATATCAGGAACAAACAGCACAAATAATAATTAATGGAGGTTTAACAGATGTTTTTAAAATTGAGAAAGGAACAAGGCAGGGCTGTCCTTTGTCTCCATTGTTGTTTATTTTAACCTTAGAAGTTTTGTTGAATAAATTACGTGACTCTGATAAAATAAAAGGAATTGTAATTAGACAGAAGATTATAGATTAAGAGCGTTTGCAGACGATTTGGTTGTTACTTTATCTCAACCTATAGAATCAGCTCCACATATGTTGGACATAATAGGTCAATATGGCAAGGTATCTGGGTTTAAAGTAAATCAACATAAGACAAAGATGATAACTAAATATATGTCCATATCGCAAAGAGAAGATTTAGGGAGAATAACGGGGTTTGAAATAGTTAAAAAGGTTAAATATCTAGGAGTAAATATTGCAGCCTCAAACACGAAATTATTTAAAAATAATTATGAAGTTCTTTGGCAAAAAGTGCAGAAAGAAATGGAAAATTGGAAATAGTTACAATTTTCATTACTGGGAAGGATAGCAGCAATAAAAATGAATGTATTACCTAGGTTCTTATTTTTGTTTCAAATGATACCAGTGCTTAAGAAAGATGGGAATTTGATGGAATGGCAGAAAGGGGTTAATACTTTTATTTGGGGTGGGAAAAAACCAAGAGTAAAATTGAAAATTATACAGGATGTACGTGACAGAGGAGGTCTTAAAATGCCTAATTTAAGATTGTATTATGAAGCAGCTGCTTTATCACAAATTAGTGACTGGTTTAATCTAACTGAAGAGAGAATGTTAAATATAGAGGGTTATGACTTGTTATATGGATGGCATGCTTACTTGTTATATGAAAAAAAAGTGGATAAGGTCAGTGATGGGATTCAATTTTTTTAACAACCGGTTCTGTGGGCGTGGCTTAGTTGGGGGGTGTGGCTTGGTGGTCATGTGACTGGGTGGGTGTGGTTAGCTGGTCATGTGACCAGTGGGCGTGGCTATCTGCATAGGGACTACAGAGGGCTGAAAAAAGTCATTTCTGACTGGTCCTCGCACTTTTGACCGGTCCTCGCACTTATGACCATCCTCACATTTATGCCCGTGCAGCATTCTTAACAACCATGTCACTCATTTCACAACTGCTTCTCTTCACCATGGTGATAAGATAGGGCAAAAACGTAAAATGTGAGGACAGTCGTAAGTTCGAGGACTGGTCAAAAGTGCGAGGACCAGTCAAAAATAACTTTTTCATCCCTCTGAGTAGTCCATATGCATAAAAGGATACAGCAATAGAGAGGGATGAAGGAAGGGAAGGGAAATTAGAGTAGGAGTGAGGGTAAGAGAGGGAGGAAGAGAGGAGGAGAAGGAGAAAGGAAGAGGAAGTAGGGAGGAGAAGAAGAGGGGGGGAAGAGAAAGTAAGAAGGAAAGAAAAGAGAGAGGTTTGAGGAGAAAGATTGCTGTACAATAAAAAAGATGAAAGGGAAGAAAGCCAACCCCAAACAAATACAAAGATATTAAGATAAAGAATGAATTGTTAAACTTTAAAGAATAAAAGAGAACAAATATGAATAAATAACAATAATTAGAAACACACATACAAACATACAATGTATTTTCTTTGAACAGAGTATTTGGCCGGTTCATAAATTTAAACAGTGTTTAGTCATTTCAGTTAAATTTACAATTTCTATATTTCCTTTTTGCCATATTTATTCCTCATCTATTTTTGTAAAAAACCAATATTACCCTTCATCTTCATCTCTAATCTTAATCAAATTCAATTTTTCCCTTCTATTCTATATTATACCCCTTCCCATTGTCCTCTATTTTTATATCCATCCTCACATTGGTTAATTATGTAATATTACAGTTGTTTAATACAAATTCAACATTTTAATATAAATCAATTAGTTATATAACTATCTTTTTTGTATATCAATCAATATGAACATGAATATTCCAATTATTTCCATGCAATCCAATTTCTTACAAATCACTTAATTATATTTACCAATAATAATAAACCAAATAATTTCCCCCATATATTCCTCAAAACCACAACTTAACCATTTCTGCTTTCAACACAATATACAATTAATAGTCTCTCAATTATTACAATTCCCTAGTTAAATAGAGCTTTTTTTCTTTTGTGTTTTAAAATCTTGAACTCTCCTCTTTTCCCCTAAATTTCCCATTGTTTGCACCTACCTTTTTTGGTGAGGAAAAAGAAAAAGAAAAAGAAATCTCTCTCTGCCTCATTTTGCCACGTTGCAACAACAGCAAAGCCAACAGCCTGCTTTACTTTCTGTTTCGTTTTTCAGCATAGCTAGGGGAAAAAAAATCTGCTCCAGCAAGCAACAGAGCCGTGAGCAAAACAGCTGAGAGCAAATCAGCTGAGAGTCGGGAGCCATCTAAGCAAGGGCTAATTAGCCAATGCTGAAGTTCCGCAGGCCAATAAAATTACAAAAAAACACCAAACCCTTTGTTAAATTGCTGGTTCACCCGCCCCTCACCCACCACTATTTATTGGCAATAAATAGTGGTGCGGAGGGGCGGGGCAAGGGATGGGGCGAGCCAGCAATTTAACAAAGGGTTCGGCCGAACCCCCTAGAACCGGCAGAATCCCACCACTAGATAAGGTGTTTAAAGGTCACATACTTAGAAATGCGTTGTTGAGGGTTTGGAAGAAGTATCAATATAAATTAAACTACAAGATACCTATATGGGCAAATCCCAGACATGCAATAGAAAATATAAGTATGGAACAAAAATAGGAGGTGATTACTTACAAAGAACTTCTTTTTATAGAAAGGGGCAAATTGCAACTGAAACCTTTAGATGAATTAAAAGAAGAAGGGATAATTTATACTTGGTTTCAGTATGGTCAGCTTCAAGCTAGATGGAGGGAAGATCAAAAAATTGGTGTCATGCAAAATGAGGAAAATTTGGTAAAGCAGATTAGAGATCAAAGTCAAATGCATATTAAAAGGTTATATAATGCTTTATTGGAAATAGATTCGGAAACGGAATTGGTTAAGGATTGTATGATAAAATGGGCACAAAACTTTCAGGAACCAGTGATGATGGAAACATGGGAAAAGATTTGGGTTAGAAATGTTAAATTTACGCAAGCACAAAACCTAAGAGAAAATTTTTATAAAATGTTTTATAGATGGCATTTAGATCCTAAAAAATTATCATGTATGTTCCCAAATTTGCAAGCTAAATGTTGGAGATGTGAATGTGATGATGCAACTTATTATCATATATGGTGGACCTGTAAGAAAATCAAGGAATTTTGGATAAAAATTTGGTGGGTGATGCAGAATATCTTGAAAAAAAGGTTGAAATTTACTCCGCAACTGTTTTTATTGGATATAACTACGGACTGTACAGCATTAGAGACTAAATTGATTTTAAATTTGATATCAGCACTTAGGCTGTTGGTAGCGCAATACTGGAAGAAGGACTCTTTGCCTACTATTGAAGAGTGGATACTGAAAGTAACGAACTTAGCAGAAATGGCGAAAATCTCAGCTTATTTGAAGGACTATACACAAGAAAGATACGTATCGGAATGGAGAAGATGGATTGATTATATTCAAAATAAGTATCAGACAAGAAAATATCAAATAGCTTATGAATGAATGTTAAGTATTAGAAGTATTATGTTATCTATAGTGGAGTTAAGGTTTCAAGGGGGGATTTGGTAGTTTAAGAATAGAGAGGTTAATTTAGCTTATTATTGTTAATTGAAATACCCTGTATTTTGCTCTGGGAAGTCTGGGGGGGGGGGAGGGGGGGGGGTGGGGGGGAGGGGAAAAGGGTGGGGGGAATATTGGGGGAAATTTTTTCTTTTCTGTAAAACTTTTCAATAAAAAAAAAAGAAGCAACAGATGGAAACTCATCAAGGAGAGAACCTGGAATTAGAGAAACTTCCTGACAGTGAGGACAATTAACCAGTGGAACATCTCCTGAAGTTCTGGGTGCTCCATCACTGGAGTTTTCTAAGAAGAGGCTGGACAAGTATTTGTCAAGGATGCTATGGTCTCCATCAGAAGATCTTCAAGGTCCCTTCCTACCTTATGATTCTATGTTATCTATGTTAATGGTCTGGAGAAGAACAGGCAAAGGGCCATCTGGATATCAAGATGGTCAGGAGAGACCACCTGGAGCTCACTGCTCAGTGGGATCAGGAGAAATGGAGGAAGCTCCCATCACAATCTCCATCTTGCCTGCCTCCACTTGTCCACCCATCTCAGGGGCTCTAGTGGTGGACCTCCAAAGAGAAGATGATTGGTGGACCTCAAAAGACCAGAGAGATGTTCTCCTTCGAAAGAGAATGTAGCCAATGGCCCAAGCAGAG